TGCACATATTAATAACGTTTATATTTTTATACAAACCTATCTCAGTATTTGTTTCTCAACATCTTAACGAAATTACTAAAGAATATCATATATAATAGAGAACAGGAGTGTATCCCAAAAAAACAAGATGTTAGAAACAATGCGTATTACAATATATGTTGTGCATATATGGAGGAGTAAAAGCCATAAATGCAATTTATATATCGCATAGATTGCATCTATGCACACCAGTCAATATTTTTAAAAATTCGACTTACACCACTATGGTTTTTACGGACTCCATATAACTAAAGTATTGTAAAATAATAAATATAGTACGGATTAATTGTAAAAGACATTTTAAATATTTTTCTACCAGTTTTATTATATTATTATTATCTGTGTGTATAGTAAAAAAATATAAATTAAACAAAGATAGATATGTTATATATCTGTTACTGTTGTTTTACAATCATTTTAAAAAACATGAAGTTTTTATTACAACAAATTTCTTATGAATAATATAATGTTGCATAACGGGGTGTGTACAGCTTATTCAAGATTTTATATAATACATATACTCTTGTATTATTGCAAGTTACAATTCTATTGTGATAAAAAATGCCGCGTAGTGTAAATGCATAGTCACTTCTACGGATACGCGGCAATTTCTAAAGGTTGTGCAAACAGAAAAGAAGCAAAAAATAAAAAATGTCACCAGTACCGGCGTAATGGTTTGGTTTATTCAAGTGTTAAACGGGTAGAGAGAGAGAGAGATGTAGAGGAAAGTGGGAGAGTATGAAAGAACCATGTTTTGAAAGACCCATCTCATATTTCAATTAACTGAATATAGTTGAAAACAAAATGTTTTCATTCGATTGCAACACTAAAGCAACGTCATCTATTGACATTTAACAGTCAACGACAAAACAGCGTTAGTATGGTAGTAGTAAACGGCGTAGTAAGGGTGAAAGATTATTTCGTCAAAAAGTGAGTTTTTGAGTTAAATTTCTATATCTTTTGGATTTATTTGCAATTAGCTTTTAAGAAAAGTATTTTTTTTAATCGAATGCTATATACACTAACCTAACTAAGAACGTAGTTACAACTCTTTTGTTTGTTTTGGTTTAGCAGATATTTTTTTGTTATAATAATACAATACTAGTTTGAATGAGACAGAGAGTGAAAGAATTTTAATTGTGCGAAGGCTGCAAACTAATTTTAATAAAGTACGTGTTAGGAAAAATATACATTTACGTATTTCTTTAAAAAGTATGTAATTATGTGATTTATGATTTATATTATACAGGGAATAATAATGTAAAAATTTTACATTAAACCAACATTTATTTTAGTTTGCTCGGAAATTGGCCGTGTAACCTTCATTTTAATGTAAAAAAATTATTAAAGACTTGTCAATAAAACACTTATAAGATGTATATCATGTAGAATCTTATATTTATAATAATCCCCAAAATTTTAGAAACTATGTCAATTGATTGTCGTTTGTTACCTATTATATAAAAAGTATACATATATATACACATACAAAAATATTTAGTATCCACATAATATACAAAGAATATAAAGTAAATTTGAATGTATGTATTTATGTGTATGTATGTTATATATGAATAAAAAAGTAGCATACGATAATTTGTCAATAATTGATGATATATTATAAGTTTTTTAAATTTTATATCAAATATTTGCTTTTAATAAATATATTCCACCATCAAAATTAATATTTACTCGATGGAGATACGTAGCTAAAAATAACGTGCAAAGTGAAATATATATCTAATTGTAAGCGTTCATCAAAGAGATAGAAGTTTGACAAAATTTGCGAAGCTAAAATTGGCATAGTTATTATAATTAATCTGTAAAAAAAAGTATATCGAGGTTTATAAAATTTCTTCATATTCTATTTTTTTGAGTGCGTGTAAAAGCGTATACTTTGTACGAGTGAAGTTAATAAATATTTCTAATCAGACAATAAAGTGACATATTTAGTATGCTATTTTATTTATACATTTGTACACATAACCATTTGCTTTACTAACAAAATTATATAAAAATACATAAGTCCGTTATATGTGGCACGCATAAAAAATTATTGTATGCCTTTATTGATTCGCTATTACGGTAGAAACGAATTGTGTTTGTCTCCGACTAAGAATACTTGCAATGCCACGTAGATACGGTTCAAAGCAACCAGATGACAAGAGACAATAGCTTATATTGTTAGCTTACATAACGAAAAAAGGAAAAGGCTGAGATAATTAACATCAACGATTTACAAATAAATACATGAAATCTTTTTTATATAATATTTTTGATTTAATATTAAACTGTTAACTGCGAAGAAAGTATCTTGTGAAATATTGATTACAAAATTACAATTTACAACGATGTATTTTGCTGTACACGAAAAAGTGTTATACCGCAAAAACATGTACGCACGATAATCCATAACATGTTTTTATAAACAACATGTAAAAAACATATATTTATATAATATTATATTATAGCGTGTTTTTATTAAAAACATATTATGATGTAATATTGTAACTTAATACATATTGGTTTATTTTTAATTATTATTAAGCACCTCGCAACACATATTTCCGTTCAAGCTTACATAAAACTTATATAAACTATGATAGTCAAATTATCCTCTTGACATACATCGTGACATGTGGTACATCCTGACATGTTGTACGTGTTCATGTTTTATCGAGTGTTTATACTACGTATCGAGAGAACGATTTTCAACGTATAAGATGAATAGGGAATGAAATATTCAGTCGCCTGTGTTAAACGATTGAATATTTCACGAGATTCTGTGTAATGTTCATAATATGTGTTCGCGTAAATGAGTCACGGTGCGTTTCGCTCCGCGCGTACTTGGCGCGAGAAACTACCGTGTCTCTTGATATGACATTACGAGAGAATGAAGAAATATTAATATTAATTTAGGAAATTATTTATTAAAGCGATCATTTCGAGTGAAATGCTTATACAAATATATATTCGATTATGAATGACAAAATTATGACTATATACAGACTTTTATGCTTTTTTTTTTCGTAAGAATATGAAATAATTGTTCAACATTCTATTTTCAAAAATATTGTAATGCTAGAATATAAGTAATTAATTTTTCAAATGATTTTTAGTCTTGTACAATGTAAGAAAAATACAAATAAGATATATATTTAATTGTTTTGAATATAAATTTAAAAATAATTGTAAACTTTCTCCGTATATGTTATAATTTATATGTTATAACTAAATAGTATTGTATATGTTATAACATTAATGAAAACGATTCTCTCTTCTTATTATAACAAATTATCATTAATGTTTCTTATCGCGTATGCTTATCTAATTCTTATAGAATATGTAAGTGTTATAGCGAATTCGATTGGCTGCATAAAGCCGTTGTATACTGATTTAACGTTTAATCTTAGTAAAATGCAAATATCTCGACTGATAAAATGCCCAATACATATTTTATCAAACAGCAGAATAAAAAATATTGAGGATTTCGTGATTTATATTAAACATACACTTCACGTTGATTTGTGTACAACGGCTTTAATGTGCACCAGTGCACACTGAGTGAATTAATCTCGAATTCGCTATTATTTAATATATATTATGTCTTAAATAAATGCTTAGCCTCCTAAAATACTTACCTAATCTTCTTTTTCTGTTATATTTAAGAAACGTATGTTTTTGTTTACTGTAAATATTTTTATAATAATATACTTATAATTGACATTATGACATAATTGTTTTGTTACATTAAATTTATCCCATTACGAAAGAACGGAATGAATGGGTGAATTATATGCCGTGATATTTTTATTTTTTTAATGTAAATACAACAAATTAAAGTAAATTAAAATTCTGGACGTATAATGTACACACATATCTAATAATACACCAGCCTTGATTTTTATTAAAATTTTTACGAACATCTAATATAGATAAAAGAAAATGTTATTATTAAAACATTTTTAAAGAGTTTAATTGTAAAGCTATTAGTAACTGATAGAATAATCATGAACACATGTTAAAGTACGTCCCTCAAAAGTATGCAGATACATAAAGCAGATAATGATGAGAATTTTCGTATATTAAGAGATTATTATTCTACTTATTTGTGGAGGAAGGTTGTCTGCGAGATTGTGCAATTTCTCAAATAATATCATTTTAATAAGGAATTCAGAGCAATCACTGCTCTTTCATATATTTATGTTTAGCTATATTCTAAGACTTATCAAGTAAATAGTTAGTATAATTCTATATAATTAAATGTTCAATAGGAGTAATATATATTAAGGATGAAGATATATTTCAATCTGAATTTTGTTATTTTACTTCCGGGTGCGTACAGTTTAATAAGAAATTCAGAGCAATCACTGCTCTTTCATGCATATGTATGTTTAGCTATATTTCAAGACTTATTAAGTAGTTAGTATAATTCTGTATAGTTAAATGTTGAATAGCAGTAATATATATTAAGGATCTGTTTCAATCTGAATTCTGTCATTTTACTTCCGGGTGCGTGCAGACAATATACTTGTAATCAGACAAATCTTATAAAGGAATGTGTATAAATGAATCATTGTGATTGTATAATTAAAAATATTATTAAGAATTTTATTTTTTTGAGTGCACGAATATTTCAAAAAATTGTTGCCTAATCAATTTTGTAACAACGTATTTAATCATTTGCAAAAATTTTAATTTGATGCTAATTTTGTCATGTGCAATTTAATCTTAGTTTCTATATTACTTTCTCTACAATTTATTTATAATAAAAATTGTATTATTAATTGCAAGGATAAGCGATATCTACACGATTGTTATATTCGCGGCAGAAATACTTTAAACTCAAAAAGTTCCATTTTATTAAAATAATCTGTGTTTATATAGGAAAGCTAAGCTTACTAACAAAGCGGAAACTTCTTAGGCATGCTATATCACGTTTATACAATCTATCTTCTTACCAAGTACGATCCACATAACGATAATGTTGCCACCAGTTGCGACCAACAGTATCACCGCGAATATCAAAGACCAGAAGAGCTTTTGCCACCACGGCAAATCGAATGGCCGTTCCTGATTAACGAGAATGCAGTCGAAGAGCCCCTGCCGCAGAACATCGGCCCTACTTGACTTGTTCAACGTCTCTTCGATGAAATAACGGACCTCGCTGAGGTTCAGCCTTAGTAGCAACGTAATATTACGTTCCAGAACCGATGCGGTGCAATTATACAAATGTTCGATATTTAGGCTATTCATATTTGTAATGGTTGTCTTCGGTGATGATTGTGCGGACAGTTCCGGGGCTTTGTTCGAACGTTAACTGCCTGTTCGCTTCCTCCAAACAGCACGTTAAATCGATTTTATGAGCCGTTACCGATTTCCTCCGACGTGACGCACAATGAACTGGCGAGTAGCTATCATTATGATGGGCTTAACCTGATTGCTCGTTTCTTATTGGAAGAAACGTGCACGCGATTGATACGAATTTATGGCACTTGATCGGAAGTCCGAGTTCGTTGTTTAATCAGTGCACTATTAGGCGCTGATTATTTTACGCAATACAAAACTCGATAAACACATTTTATTTTATTTTTATTTGGTCGATTTACCCCTTTACTTCCAAATGCTTCCGTTTAAACTTATTGTTTGTTAACCTAATAAAATTGTCTTTAAAATCGGAATAAACGCGAGATGATTTTGTATCTCAGATCACTTTGCCGCGAGGATTAGCGGATATCTAACTCGGTAAGCGCTCGGAAATCTGCGACATGTTAATTAAATCTGTGTGGAGATTTGTTTTATCTTTACGTAGATTTTGTAAATTAGTTTAATCTTCTTGAACTTTGTAAAATATTTAACACTCTTTGAAATTCTTTCCCGACTTTACCATATTAATTATGTAACACCTTTTAAGTAATAGCGCTCTTTTTTTTCGATGTATTATATCAACAATTTTATCGCCGTGTTTTTAGGTGGATAAAGCACCACTTAAAACACCACTTTTAAACACTTTTTACAAAACGCGCGTTAAACTACTGCGAACGTGATTTGCACTTAGCGTACACTTTAGAAGCACAATATTATATTTATAAACCAGTTCGCCCTCTCTTCGTAATCAGTTAACAGAAAGTGCAAACCGTTGAAGGACCGGGGATCGTTTCAAAGTCATTATCACTGACAGCAACAAGCGACGAAGTTTATCATATTGTGTCCGAGAACTTGAACTTAACGACACGTATCCGCATGTTCGTTGAATCTCGATTATCTCTCGCCGATCGCGATCCCTGCCATTTATTTACGCGCGATTTGTCGATCGACACGTCAATCGTCGGCATTATTGTCGCGGGATTATCGGAAACATTTGCACGCGCGCGGTATCGCGTAATCTACGTAATCTACGGGGATGATCATTCGTCAAATTCGACGTCGTTTGTTGAGGTGGATCAAGCCGGTGGTACCGTACTGAAGAACCCCGTCGGCGATACTGAAAGACTCAAAAGCGCGTTCATTCAGCGGTGCGTGCGCACCATGAGCATTCTCGCACCCCCTTTCCTTCGTCGCGCCCACCGCACCGCACCGAGACTTTCCACTTGGGCACAAGTGTCAGCTGATGGGGAAATACGCGAGTGTCTGCGCTGGATATCAGCAAGCTCGCCGATTTATGATAGCTATTCCTCAGGATAAAAGCTGAGAGACTTGCGTCACGTGCGGCGGCGCGCTTCTCAGATTCGCCAGATGTTTTATATTACGTGTAGGAATGCATCTGGGGGAATCTCAGGCGCTTTCCAAGATTTAACGTAGATTCTGATCCGAACATGTTAAATCTGCAACATGCTACACGTGTGCTACACAGCACGTTTTATGTCGTTTTTAGAGTATTTTCCAGATTTTGTGAGAAGATGCAATCCAAGCTTTATACTTTAGAAAAGTACTGACATAATTTAATATTTTTAATACAGAGATTTTTACTGTGCAATTCTATATTTTGCAGAATTATTCATAAACATATACAGTTTATTGATTTAAGTTATTTTTTAAATTTATATTATTTTTAGTTTAATAAATGAAATTATTTACTACGCATTAATTTATGTCGAATTCTTATTAATGTCATTTTTTTTTCAACAAGCAAAAGTTGAATTTATTACGGATAAACGTAAACATTTTAGAATCACGCGATAATAAAGATTATTACGTAATATATTTATCCGCCCTTAGCACGAAAATTTACATCGCCAAATGTACATGCTGAAACATTGTAATTCGAGGAGTTACTTGCAGAAAGTAACGCGAATATTTGCCTTGTCGAGCTCGTTGGCAGAGCTAAATATAAATAGGGGTTGCGAGAAATAAATTCTTCACCTTGGCAGAAATAAAGCGAGAAATAAGGACATTTAATTAATGCCGAGAAGGAATGTCTTATTCACGGAAAAGCAATTATTAAGCGATAAGTTGTTCCTTGCAGAAAACTCTTCTCTTCTGAAACCTACAAAATTTTAGTAACCTTTTTCACGAAACTGTATCGTGATGACTTTGATAAAGCTTTATCCGTCACATTTGTTTGACGTTCGGACCAGACTTTGCGCTAACGATTTTGTCATGGATAAATGTCCCTTTGCTTTCGTGCGAATGAGTATGATAGTAATCATGGTTATATATTTTCTTTGAAAGCGAGCTAGACATGTATCCATGCATACTTGTTACAGAATGAAAAAGTTTGAGCCGTCGATATATGAAAGGCGAATTTGTCACGTCAACTTTGCGACCATCTCCGAGTGTATAGCTTTATTATATTTTTAGTATAAAGTTTTCGTGAAGTAAAAAAAGAAACTTTATCGCGTGAGTGAGTCGCTATTAAATATACATATAACAATGCACTGTTACAATTATACCTTTATTATAATATGTAAATGCTTTACGATGCTGATAAATTCTCAGAATTATTTTATAAGTAAAATAATAATTTTATGTCTTTTAATTTTAAAATAATAAACATATTTTTTAATACCTACTAGACACCACAGACGCGCGCTTCGCGCGCGCTATTTAGCTTTAACATTATGCAATTACTATTACACTATTAACTTCTTAACTTCTTAATACACACAACTGTCAAATGCGATGGCCCTCGCGATGGCCCTTGTCATACGATGACAGCTGCAAATGAAGTAAGCGCAGCGAGAGAACCGCAATTGGCATCGCGGAAAAAGGGCAACAAAAAACTTCGAGATATGCGAGTATCGACTTAACATGCCTTTTTTTAGAAAGGACTACCTACACTGTGTTTTATTCTGTAATCGTACCTTTTATAATCTTTTATGAGTAAAATTTTTATAACAAAATGAAATCTATAAATAAAAGGGGAAAAGTACTCCCCTTTTTCAATTAAAATTGTTGGTACACTGAAAAAAAAATATTCCGGATTTTAGTAAATATTAGTTTGTATACAACTGTGACTCCATTTACTAAAATGAAGAAAATTTTCCTTTTTATTAGTATATGTGTATTCACTAGGAAAAAAATATGCTAACAAAAAAAAATTTTCTTTAATTTAGTAAATGAAGTCACAGTTGTATATCCAAACTAATATTTACTAAAATCCAGAACATTTTTTTTCTCAGTGTAGAAAAGGAAAACTTTTTTTTTCTTAAACCCGGCTATCAAAAGTAGTATTATATCTCAAATCGAGCTTGTTACGTTTGTATAAAGCTGAAAGTTTGCAGCTTTATGGGCGAAGAGAAAGAGCATCTTTCTTCTCGGTTAACTATATTCGTATCCAGACATTCTCCAACTTAAGTGAAAGTGGAAAAGTATTCTCCTCACGTACGGTTGACTTCACATTGAGATGCCTCATCATACGAGATACAAAGATCTTGGGAAAACTTTTTATGCCATGGATATTTCGAAGAAGCAGACTTCTGTAGCGTTAGACACCGACTGCTTATTCATATTTGAAAAAGCCTTGAATATCTCGAATATTTAACGACGAACAGAGATACGCGATTTATCAATATTTTCAATTAACATTTCAGCGAGAAGCTAAATGAATTCAATCATCTGCTACAGTTTGAAAAGAATAATATTGAGAAGAACCGTCTGGAACGAGTAAAATTATGTAATAAAGTTTTAATCGTCTTTCAAGATATTTAAAAGAAATTTATAAGCGCCATTAATAATACATTTAACAATGTATTTAAAATAATTCCAAACGGAAAATGTATACAATTGTCAGTCTGAATGTATACACCAATTAGTTTCTTTTAAATTGTAAACTTTTACACGTTGAATAAATGCAAAAATAATATTTATTTAAATATATTTACATAACATCTGTATGTTTTGTATATATACTCTGCATTACGAGTTTACAGACATATTACCGTGCAAGCATAAGGTGACATATGAAAAAAACCGTCTTTTTCATGACACGTGTAACATATATAAGGCGCAATGGTCTCTTAGAAAGCTCGTTAGTTAGAGTTAGTAAGCTTATATAGCACGACTCAAGATAACTCTTACAAGATAAAAACAAATGTAGAACTTAGATGAAAAAAATGATTTGGTGATTGAAATATATAAATAATTTATTTAATAGAATTAATGTTAATTTTGACGGCATTTATATCTGTAATTTAACTCAACACGCAAATATCAAATTATAATTAATATTATTTTAAATTAAAAAAGTAATCTTTGATCTCTATTTACAGAATGTACACAAATTATTGTTTAAACATTATAAATATTTTCAATGAACTGTATATGTATAAAAAGGTGTAAAAGTATATTTTTACGTTTTCAGGCTTACAAAATACTTCTTACTTACTTCTATTTTAAAATAAAATTTTTCGACTCTTGCGCACAGGGTAAGGTAAATAAAGTAATATTTTTAGATCATCGTGCTCCAGCAAATTTCATTTATTTGCAAAAAATTTGATGAAAATTTTTCTCGCAAAATTATTTTGAAAACTTCTGCAAACGAGGGGTTATTTCAGTCTGATGCAATCATACTATTATACAGGTAGCTATCACAGTTTTCGTATTACGTACATATTATATTTTATGTTTTTCAAATAAAGTGATAGAATTTAATAAGTTATTTGTTAATTATATAGATCTTTCAAAAATGTTTTATCATTTATGTTTACATTATTTTCCAATTTCTGTTAACCAGCTCTATCACATATATTTATCTTTTTCATCGAGTGTCAAATATATAGATTCAAATAGAGAAGCCCGAAAAGTGTCTGATACATTCATGTCTCACAGGAGTTAGGTACACCTACACATTATCATGTGTATATATGCAATATATTATTATTCGCCAAAAGAAGACCCTCGGAGAATAGGCAGATGTTTGTTGGAACGATAGGTTGCGGCAAAATATTGGCGTTTCTCGAAGCTCAGTATACAACGCCCGAAATATTTCGCACGGATCTGTTTGGTATGCAAAGTAAGGAACGAGCTACGAATGACAGATAAGATTTATTTCCAAGATTGATTTTATATATATGTATATATATATATTGAATACTTTCGGAATGAACAGGAGATATTGAGTACTCGAAGACATTATTCTCATTTTTGAAGAAAATATATACACTTGTTTTAGGACATACTATACATTGCTACAGAGAAAATGGAATGGAAACACATATAAATTTTGATTGATTGATATGGGATTTTTTAAAATGAAAACAACTTGTTTGTTGACGCAAATAACTCTTGCGTAAAAAATATGCTGGCGCGCAGTTAGCTTTCTATACAAATAATTTAAAAAAACACACAATTAAATTTTACATAATTTATACATTTTTATCTAATTATTTTTTTACAGTAGCAGACGTTATTTAATTTTAAAAAATTTGTTTCCAAATTTTGCTATATTAAGAAGCAATTCTTTTTAATGATAAACTATGATTTTACTCCAGCAAAATTATCTGGAAACGTGGAATCATGTGGAAACGTGTTTTCAACGTGTACTCAAACGAGGTTAAGAGTTCAAGCTTAGATTAAACCCAAGTATAATCCAAAATTAGTAAGTAAGCTTAAATTTTACTGTAATACTTGAAAGTCTAAAGAGTGCTTTGGGGGAATTGCCTTCTTATAATCTAAAAAAATTATAATATCAAAAAATCTAATTTAGCTTGTGTTTTTATTTATTATTGTAAAATCTAATTTATGATATTTTATATAATATATGTATATATTGTAAATAAACATATAATATTATGTATATTAAAAATATATATATTAAAATAAATATACAATATTGTGTATATTAAGAAATAGAAAAATAGAAGAAGGAATTTTGATACATTTAAATTTATTTAAACGCTCTAAATAAATCTGAATTAAATGATTCCTAACGCTGATTTATTTTTATGTTATCTCACATTTGACGTAAGAAAATTATGTACAATATAGACTTGAAATCTCTAATAATAGTGTAACACTTTTTACTACGTGACTGCTATAGCAGGTGTAGCAAAGGATAGCAAATTTGTGGCAACTCCACATAGAATTTTACCTGAATTTGATCCTTTCCGTGTGCAGTCCCGTTTTCCCCGTCTTGTGGTTTCCATTCATCCTACACGTAGCACAACCTCCACTAGGTATAATTAAACTAGCATTTAATTAAATTATTTGCCATTGATTCGAGTTACGAACCTTCACATACAAATGTCATAATTTGTTACAGAAGTAACACAATTTATCGAGGTATAAAAGGGACGATGTTTTATGTTTAGAAATAAATAGTAAAAGATTGGTAATATAATAATTGATACTAACCGTTTTATTAAGATTTATATTAACATAACAAAATTCAACATAATTTAATTGATACGCATAAATATAAATCTATTATGTGATAGTAATATATAACATACACATTTTTTCATCATTAAAGTTTTCTACGCATAATATTAAATCTGATATTATTCACGAATTACACGGTTATATAATTTACTTTTACACTGAGATATATTTTATACTTTTTAAATTATACACCGTGATTAGAAAGGATATAATTAACAATAAAATTAATTGAATTAGTTTAATATTAATGAGTTTGAATTATATACTTATATACTTTAATTATATACTTATATACTAAAATATTGCTTCCTCATAAAGAAAGCTTTGTTTTCGTAAAAAATTTTGACGTAGAACTACGTCTTTGTTGACAGTAAGTAGGGTAGAGGGTAACATTGGGAGCACAGATGCAACGAAAACATGTCACACTTTGAACGTTTATATCTTCGAAACTAATAATTGTAGAGTAATGATTAATACGTTATTAGATAGTTTATATTTCCTCTTGAAAGTTTTAAAAGTCTCAAAAAGCTTCCTAAATTAGGAAGCCAAACAATATTATAAGCAAATAATTATGCTCAGGTCTCAACCACTTTCAATTTTGGCAATTTAATATTAATTATTGGCAACTTTTCTAATTCCATTATATTTTTCAGTCTTTTCTATCCCTATTTCATATACAATGCTTTAAGTTTGGTTGATTAGACTCAACTTTATTAAACTATGTATTTATTTTTGCTTATATATAACTCAAGAACATCAACTAAATTTTAAAGAGTTATATATGAAATGGGGTTAGAAAATACTGAAGAATATAATGGAATTAGAAAAGTTGCCAATAATTAATAATAAATTGCCAAAAAAGAAGAATTATTGAAAGTGGTTGAGACTTGAGCATAATTATTTGCTTATAATTGTTTGGCTTCTTCATTGAGGAAGCTTTTTGAGACTTTCGAGACTTTTGAAAGGAAATGGGACTATATAAGCTATCTTATGACGTATTAATCATTACTCTACGATTATTAGTTTCGAAGATATAAACGTTCAATTTAAATTTAAAAATTTTTTTTATGTAAATTTTCGAATTTTTTATGAATATTCTGTAATATCCTAGGTAGGGTTTTTCAACTAATATATTGATCTGAAAAAATATTAAACAATAATATATTGAGAAAATGTCACATTTTTATTCAAATTAAGTTTTATTTATTTATTGTCTATTTTCTGTGAAGATTATATAAAAATAAAAAAATGTGCAAATATTAGAAACTGCTTTCTTTCCATTTTTTTCACTCATATCGATTAGTATTTAATAATAGCAACATGTACTGATCAATTAAAGATTAAAAGATATTTAATTCAGAGAAAGTATTAAAAGAAATAAAGATAATATTCTTTGCTAAAACTTCCAATATTGATTATCTGATGAACTTGTCCTATCACTGTTATCGACTGAACTTAAATTATCAAAAAGTATATAAAGTAAATTATATTTTTAAACTTACTATATAATATAATAATTATAATAATCTATGCATTGTGGTGTATAAAATAACTTAATAACTTTCTTAAATCTTAATAATTATTAGTTTTTTTTCTAACTACGTTATTGACTAAACAGATTATCATCCGTTGAAAAAATTTTATTCTGTGATTCTTTATGAATTCACAATCAGTGCAACCAACGAATTTTGCCCAAATAAGATTAAGTAAAAATACAAATTCTCATGTAGATATCTTTACGTGGAAATTAATTTTACAAAAAAAAAAATATAAAGTATAAAAATATAAAAAATAAATTTGGACAATTATTTCTTTATTGATTTGACAATTTTATTTGAATTCATTTACTTGTTGACTGTACCAACAACTGAAACTTGATATGGCTCTCGATGAATTTTGCACAAATTCCAATTGTCAGAAGGAATAGGATACCACAGACTGGTATCGGATGACCGATCAATAAAAGATTACATCTCCGTTTCTACATTAACATCTATGCCATCGTTATCGTATATCTGTTTCTTACATATATGAGTTGGAAAACGAGTCTTTATATATATATATATATATATATAATAATTTTTTTAATTATTGTCAAGCATTGAAATTGTCAGATGGATGTATTAAACGTATACCTATGTATTACAGGTTGATACAGCTTCGATCAGATGTCACTACTTCTACTATTCTTGTTTGTATTTGAAATCGCAGACCTTGAAATCTTATCAAACACAAGCATAAATCACTATTATATCTCTAGTACTTTAGACTTTTATATTCTGTGATTAATACTGTAAATAAAATTCAAGTATCGCGAAGTTGTTATTTTGCACACTATAGCATCATGTATGATATTATTTCAAGTTCTCGTAAATCAATTTCGAAAGAATTTATCAAACTTTACTGTTATATTACTAATAATATCTTGGTTTTACATATTTTGAATCTTTTAATCTCGAAAGATTCTATACCTTATGTACCAATGTATAATTTATATTATATTATACATATGTACACAAATCAACATATGGAATAAAGAAGCTGTTTTCCTATCACGTTGCATTGTCTCACTTTATTATATCCATTTTTACTTACAGGTTCAGCAGTTAAGTATCATTTATACGTCAGGACGCCCATCATTATATAATATATATGTGCACCTTCGTACATGGCTCGCATATAGAGATGCAATATAAATAAAAATCGATTTCTACTTGATAACATCTATGTCACAATTTTTTTTATTCGAACCTTAGTTTATTCACATATACATTAATTTGAATTGCCAATTTGCAGTAGACATTTGATGTTATGCGTGGCAAATATATATTTCTAAATATCGACCATATACCCACAGTCAGAGAGCATGCCGTATTATTCTAAAAGTACATTACAATGCATTTGTATAATTATCACATAACATATATTATATTGTTTATAAACTATATACGCGTAAGAAAAAAATAAGACGAATGGCGGGAGATAATCAAGTAGTCGAGAATAAAAAAATGTGTAAAGAAGAATGTAAGGTGCTTTTTTGAGAATTTTTAAAATTAAGATTATTGGACAGATAGAATATATTGTCTACGATTCAGTGGCAATTACATTTTCAGTTTGATCTCACGCTGTTTCTGTGTGTTTAGAAAACACTTAAAATATTATATATACATAATTATTTATCAAAGTAATTTTCTGTCTGGCGTGTACGTTATAAAGTAGTACGAATTATAAGATATTAATAACAAAATATTCCGAATATACATTTTTAATTGTATTATCTGTTCATTAATATTCACGTGCACGCAATATCATTTTAATTTTAATTTTAACAAGAATTATTTTCACGAAACGTGCAAGGAATTTGAGGCACATTTCAATACAATCTATATACGAATAAATAACAGCGAAATAATACGACAGAACTTATTCTCATCATGTCGGAATTGTTTACAGATGAAGAATTTGCTATTTTAATTTTCCGACGATAGAATTAAATTGATCGAGCATGAAATGCACATTAATCATACATTTTCCAACCCGTCGGGCACAATTTTGATGATCGTCCGTTTCACGGATCTACAGCGAGTAATCTATAATAAAAGCACGGCCGTGTGTCGGGAGGGAAATATATAACGCGCATTGCAAGTGTGTACATACTTTCTCCACGATCTAGACAATACGCTTTTATATATGGTCTCACATAGGCTCCACGCAGCTATTTTTATTACCTGCACTTCTTTTAATCATGCTATTGCCTAAGGCTAATTATATTTATTTGCTAGATATTGTGTACCGTCTACCGGTCTTCCTCCCCCTTTTTAGCGCTAAGCAGCCTTTACTGCCTACCCATTATCACGCTATGTTTATATGCATATTTGTATACACGCTACATGGCGCCCGCTTAATAAGTTAGTTGTTTTTTTTCCTACAAAGTCTGTTATCTCTGTACAGTAAGCGCACCGCTACTTGTGCCCCCCCCCCCTGCACTTATATATTTAAATATAGCCTACATATCGTACAGAGAGAAGTTTACTACACGTTAGAGTAACTGCGACGTATCGTTTCCTTCTCGATCAGTTAAGCTGATCTTTGGACTTAAGTCTTATTAAGCGGAGTATCATTTACACTGTTACGTGTATCGATAACGATCGTATCGAAGAATCCGGGCGTTCGGAGAAATATTTTGATGCAAGTTGATTTTTTCTTTTTATTGACGAAGCACAGTAATAATTTATGTTGTTATTCTACTACTAATTATAATGACGCCGACATATTATATCCTAGATAGCCAAGACACAGAAGCGGAACGTGTTTCTTTTTCGTTATCGATTATTATCGCAACGATCTTTTTTTTTCATGTTCTCTAACGAGAAATTATTATCGCGTATTATCATTCTACTCTTGCATACAACTCGACATACGCGTGAAGAGAAACGAGCGTACCCCGAAATTCTTCAAAGCTTAGGAAAGCATGTAAACGTATCGCTAATTTATTCAAGCGTGACTTACAATTAATAATATAAATTAATCGTAAATTGAGAATTTACGAGTAAAATGATTTTATATGTCAGGAGCAGAATCTCAAATCGGTTTGAAACGCTCTATTAGTGCTCCTGCGGATGAACATTTCAAAATTAGGTCTGTCATTTTAACGTTAAGATGACTTTAACGTCTAAAACGTATATAATTGATTTAAATATATTTAGCGTAATGAAGAAACAGGATAAAACTCTCGCTATTGGCAGTGAATTTTGGAAGATATCCAAAGTGCCAAAAATGTCCCCGTAACGGCATTTCCCAATGCCATTTCATTCATGCAATGTATATAAAATCCTTATTTATTTTTCTTAATCGGGACACTTTGTACTTTCTGTGGAAGAACATGACGCGTTTCTAACGATAAGATGTTGCAGCAAAATTGTTAGATAAAATTTACGAGCGAAGCGATACGTATCAAATTATATAAAGGTAGAAAACTATACGACAAAGTCTATGATATAATAAAAAAATTTGCTACTTCTGATCAATCGGTAACTAAAAACGATATTTGCTTCTTGGACGTTCCTTTTAATTCCATGTTAAAGCTATGAGTAGAAATAAAAATATAACAGATAGGGAAAACGTGCATCTTGCGAGAGTCAAACTGACATGAGTTTATTTAATTAAGCACCTTTTCTGTCCTAATTTCGTGTAGCATATAACAAGTTCATAGTTATAAAGTTTGTGAATTATTTAGACTGGCAAAGTGCCAGAATTTTACTTAAGTAACATCTAATTGAGAGCTATTCTTAAGGTCCTAAGATATATTGATAATATTCAATTGAATATATATTGTCATTTTCTCAAAATGTGCATTGATTTCAACTGAAAAGGAATTAGATGAGGAAAGAAAGTTATTTTTTCGTTTAACAATTTTAATGTTTGACTGATGCAAATAGACATTGCATGTAGATACCGTTGATTATAGATTCATTTCAGTACCACGCTAATAAAATGATGATGCAAATGATAATGAAAAATGACAATTTATTTTTTTGGGGATATATATAGCTCTTGTGTGTGTATAATATAAATATAAAAATGTAAATCTCCATTTCGTTCACTCGCTCTTCGTCAAGTGCTAATTAATTTATTAACTATTTATCGCTTTCACACCGCAAGCATTGCAGCTGTCTTCAATTATACACGTTTTTGATAAATTAGTTCTATTAATTAACAGGAGTTACAATTTTGATTTTCTATGCAATTGCGTGAGTATGTACGTGTACGTATATTTGATTCATCCGCAAACAAGAATAATAGAGATAATGCCATTATGAATGTTATTAAAATATAACGAGAGATATGTGGATATGAATTATTTGTTACCATTTGTGTTCGCGTGCATTTTGTTCGTAATTTGCAGTAATCGCGAGATACACATGCATTTCATATAAAACGGAATGAAAAAAATTAGGCGTTGCTGAGAGGAAAAAGATATTTTCAAAGATAAGCAATACTGAAACGAAGCTTCGTGATGCCACGGAGTTTATAATCACAGTCGGCTAGTAACTTTAAATAATTGTTCGCACCTGCGGCACAATAACTATTGCGTACACACAACAAACTTTTTAATTAAAATGCATAATATACATAAAACACGGCTAATACTAATGATAAAAAGACCAAAGTTTATAATAAGGTAAGAAATAATTAGTCAAACCGAAGTAATTAACTAAATAATTAATTATTAACTAAATAATCAATTTTAAATATGTAATAAGACAACATATTCTCTGCGTGTCATCATAGATGCGAACGTAATGCCACGAAACGTCAATCAGACATCGATGGAAGCTCGTTTGTGAAAAGAGTACCAGGTGTCACAAAATTCGAAGAGAAAAGGCCTGTGCTTAATTAGGCCATCTCAAGGCAGTGTATATTCCGATCGACGATCGAAAGCCGTAAGAAAATCGTCAATTGTCCGATACTTCTATGAAGGCGAGCTACCTCAAGCTGATTCGTTGTTTGTAAAAGTAACAAAAGAAAAAGAGACAGTACGTTTAAATAACCCGTGAAACAGTTAAAATTTCCCGCCGAAAATCAATAACGTAACGCGAAAACGCTCCACGATTACTGCGTACAACAAGAAGAGACGGTCCTTTATTCGAAGCGACTGGCGTCTTTATAATACAGCCGAACTTTTTACTCACAAAGCGACTGGATGTTTTACAGTACACACACAGTCGGATATATCAATATCTTATATTACTTAATATTTTCACTTTTCGTCTTTCATGATGAACGATGTTCCTTCGTTTGGCTTACTATTAAATGTTTACTATTAAATTACGTAATTGCTACTTTAACGACAACGTTTTAACGCGAAAACGCTCCACGCGGCGTTAAATCTCTCGCAAGCTCTCTCTACGGTACGGACCAGTTATTTAGGAATGCATCTCCGGTTCAGCATAGCGTTTATTATTGTGGTACACATATAATTGCCTAAGACTACATGTACATACAACTGTTATACGCGCGCGTCCTGCTCACATAAACGTTAACAAATATTCACACATGTGTACAGCTTATGTACATACGAGTATTAATGACTTTCGATCGACTCCGAGTGCGTATTATATGTACAAAAGGCGCGTAATAACACCTGACTTCGCCGGCGAGGTCTTAAAATATTATTCTCATTTTATTTATTGTCCGAGTTCACCACAGTTAACGACAAGTGAGTGTAATTCGGTATTAAATATGGAAGGCCATCCTCTTCTCCGCAAAAAAAAAAAACGAAAGAAAAAACAGTCCGTCATTTACGTTAGCTACATTATCGAAACGAGTATTCCGTCGAACGATCCACAGTATATATTTTTACGTCATATGAAAATCACCCCTCAGTATCCTGGTGAAGGTCTTCTTGAACTGCTGATTCGCCAGGGCGTAGCAGAAGGGATTCATGGGACTGTTGGCGTAGCACAGAAAGTATGAGAACATGAAAAGGTGCTCGTTCGTGCACGGTGGATTCGAGCAAAACCCCTCTACCAGCGCCAGTACGTGATAAGGTGTCCAGCAGGCGACGAACGCCCCCAGAATGAAGGATATCGTGCGAAAAGCTTTGCGCGCTCGATTTTCCGTCCGCGACTTTTGCCGGCCTATCGTGAGATCCTTCTTCTGAGTTTTGGCCTTCAATCGTTTCCCGATAGACTTGACGAAATCGCGCCTGGAGCCGCTCTGCTCCGCGTCCGACGTTTCCTTCTTCTTCTTCGACTGAGTCTTCGTCTCCTGGCTGTTCGTCGCACCCGAGGTCGTCGGCATTATGCTGCTGGACGACGAGTTATGCGGCAGGTTACCGCTTCCCTTGATGGGTTGATCCGTCGTGCTGTTAGACGATTCTATCTGCATAACGGTCGTCGTGACCACTGTCGTCACCGGTTGACGCTTCGACCCGTCGGCATTGACGGAGACCTTCGTGTGTACCTTGCTGATGGGCGACGTCTGCGACGCGACGTTCGCCTGATGAGTGATGAACACGCGCGGCGGGTGCGTTTGACTCGATGCGTTGGACATCGCGGGTGGATGGTGCTGTTTGCCCTGTGCGATTTGAACGAGCTGACCGGTACCGGTCTGCTGCGCCGTCGCTCGGATCAGAGCGGCCTGTAACAGGCTGGTACTCGAGCCGGCCACCGCCACGGCGTTACTCAGAACGGGCGACGGGGGTGCCGTGGACAGCGGATTCGCCAGACTGCAGGAGAAGGAAGACGGTGGACTCTCGTAAGAGGGGCTGGGCAGGATGATGGAGCTCTCGTCCATGTACCGTAAATCACCGCCGTCCAGACCGGTGAGAATGTCGTAGGTGCCGTGACCGTGGGAGCGTACGATCAACGATCTGGGCCGGTCGGTCGACGAGGACGTTGTCGGACTGTCCGACACCGGCGGGCTACTTTGGAACTGCATGGGCGGCGGTATAATGATATTCTGTTGACTGCCGCTGATCGACGCTCGCTTAAGTTGACCGGGCGGCGTCACCTCGATCGAGACGATCGACGGTTGATTGCCGTCGGCGTCGGCGTTCGACCTTAACGATTGCTCCGGCGTCAGCGTCCGGCTGCTGGACTTGTCAGGCTCGGCGGGATTGTCGGTGTCCAGAAGACTGAGCTCCTGTATCTTCGGCAGTGTTTGAGCTTTCTGCGTCGGCGTGTCGCGCGTAGGACTCACCGGCAACAGTTTCCGCGCCGTTGGCACACTCAGCTCGACCTTGATCGGCACGACGCCGTTCAGGCGGCCGTTAGTGGCGAAAACTTGGAGAGCGCCGGATTGGGCCACCAGACCCGCCAGCGAGGATCGCTTTCTGATGGCGTTGGACTGTTGCACGTTACCGGTGGTGCTCTCCTCGTCGGAATCGAAGGCGGGACTGCTGGAGCGTTCGGACTTTTCGGTCTCCGCCACCGTGATGGTCGCGGTAACGTTCTTGCCCGCGGAATCCGGCGCCGTCGCGCCATCGGTGATCTTCGCGGCCGTTTTCTGCCCGGTAGTCGCGTCCGCCCCGGTGACGCCGCTGTCGTCCATCGACGTGGCGCCGATCTTCGGTTTATCCTGGCTCAGCAAGGTGCTCTGCGTTTTAGAAATACCTATACCGGCGGCGCGACCGGCCATACCGGACATCGCGCCGGCGCTTAGCGCGACCATCGACTGCATCTTCCGCTGCTTGGCCTCGCTCTTCTTCTGCATGTCATAGGCGGTTTTGTATATGCCGCCGTAAAGGATAAAGAGAACGATCAGCGTTGTCCAATAATACCCTATTATCAGCGCGGTATTGAATATCGGATCCTTGAGGAACTGCACGGCGCACTGGCCCGGATTTAGGTCTCGGTAACCGATAAAGTGCTCCCAGCCGAAGATGCTGATGAAAAATAGTAGCGCCGGGATGATCCAGGTGATGGTCACCATCCAGATCACACGCTGCTTCGTACGCCAGCTGCGGTACTGCGCGGCTATCTTCACCGAGCAGAAGCGGTCGATCGTGATCAGGAGAACGGTGTACTGGGACACAAGGCATACCGTATAGTCCACCGACAGCCACAGATCGCAGAGGAGAGGTCCCAGATTCCAATATCCCATTAACACGTAGACTGTGTAGAATGGCATCGACACGGTGCCTGCGCACAACAATTACAATCGTTACATGTATGGTCTGGTTTCTGTTGCCACGTGTATCTGATTACTCGTATTCTCTGCATTCAAACGGACCATCGCGATAACCAAATTACACATCTGTCGTTGATTATCATCACGTTGAATACATCGGGATACGTTCATAACAGAGAGAGATTTGCATTAGAAATACTGTCAAACGTTTCTGAAGCTAGGCCCTATCAACATCCTATCAAAGATAGCGAATCGAAATGCAACGTGCTGCAAACCATACTGTAATTAAATTTAAAATCAAAATATCGACAACTAGATGAACGCGAAGTTAATGTAAATTTTAACCCTCGGTTGTGACACGAGGTCAAAATGACCCCAATCAATTTTCAAACAGCTGCATGCTGTTCAAGAACTAACAATTTAAGTGGATCTCAAAAAATTCTAGAATTAAGTTTAAACATTGTAGAATGTATTCTCGTTATAAAAAATTAACTTTTTGAGTAGCATAATGTTCAAAAAATCTTTTTAAAAAATGTTCAAAAAAGAGATGTGACAACCGAGGATTAAAATTCGGTATAAATATATATTTCTTTTACCAGCAATACTTATATATTTCATAATTAATAATACTTTAGCATAACTTCTGAAACTCATGTAAGATATAAAATTACTTGATATTGTCGAGTCATACGAGATAATGACATCAAAAATGTTTAACAGAGTTTTTTAAATAATCATCATCAATTAGTTACAAAGTTACAAAGTTATTAAATTAGCGATTTTTAAAAATTTATTTGTAACTATTTAAATTTATAGAAATATTTCCTTTATCTTCAAAATATTATCTTTATGTATAAAAATTTTTGCTCTTGGTGATGGCAGTCGTACGTGACATGATTTAAATATTCCAGAAAAATTTTAATCCCAATATGGTATCATTTTTATGAGACGACTCGACGTTTATTGAAAGGGGAAACGAAAACGAAAACGAAATGCGAGAATTTTGTTAGGACTTACCGATAAGCATATCAGTGGCAGCTAATGATGCTATGAAATAGTTGCTCGGTTGCCTGATGGCCCTATCTACGATGAATGCCAAAAGAACGAGGATGTTACCGCCGATAGTTAGCAGTATGCATATCGCCAGGCAGATAGCAATCAGTACGGTCTGCCAGAGCGTAAATGGTGGCAAAACGGGCATCAGAGATTCATCTGTTTGGTAGGACGTAAAGCTTTATCAGCAAATGATACACGTGACATGATGACGTTAATATAGAAGACGTCTTATATAAATGCAACGGCATATTAACGGACTTAATATAATTTACTTGCATAAAAAATGATCGCATAATTCGTAAAGACAAAGAACAATCATATGATTTCACAGTGGAATGTATTCTGAACGGTTTTACATGCAATTCGTAATATTCGCATTCTTGCTCCGCAAGTCGCATGATTACAACTTAATTTCAATTACATTACCCGACGTCGGCGAGGTCGTTGCGTTTCCGAAAGTCGAGGCATTCGTCGCATTTGTCGGGAACCAGTCGGGCAGAAGTTCTGCGTATTCACCGCTGTTCCATCGCGGGTCATCCGGGTCAGGCCATGTTCCATTTAGCTGGGTACATTCTGCTGTCAAAATCTGGTTATACACGAGTCGACACAGGCGCTCCCGTTGTTTCTTCAGCTTCCTAAAAACAATGGAAAATTTTTTCTTTTACTATTAATTACAAAACGCGACAATCGCGGAGGATTGTTCCGGATATTAAGGCGAGAATGAATGAAAAATTCATTATAACGGATACCTTTTGCTAATCGGTACGAAGTAATACGAGTACGGCGCAACTTTTATGGAAATATATGTAGCGCTCGCACGAGATACCGACATTGTGAAATTTCTCCACACGTAATTGACTGTAACAATAAGCCAAATCTAGGCTAATGATATTTCGTCCAAATAAAAGCATCGAGCATTTACGTAATTACAGACGAGAGAGATAAAATCGCGAGGATTAATTCCATTTGTGCTCGGCCGCTATTTCTATCCCACACGTGTAAATTACATTTTACGCATAAAGAGAAGTTCGATAGTTCGATGAATCACAATGTTCCTATTCCTTCGTCGTGGCTGCTGTGTTTGTTACCATCGAAGAAAATGTGACACCGGTATTTCCTGATTCTCCGCGCACAGCGACATGCACCTACTCTCTCTCTCTCTCTCTCTCTCTCTCTCTCTCTCTCTCTCTCTCTCTCTCTCTCTCTCTCTCTCTCTCTCTCTCTCTCTCTCTCTCTCTCTCTCTCTCTCTCTCTCTCTCTCTCTCT